AGCGCTCCCAGTGGCGGGGGACACTGGGGCTGGTTTGGGTGCCCCCTCAGCACCCAGTGGGGCCGGGCTGGGGGGGCCAGGGGGGGACCAGCTGGTCCCAGTGCAGGTTAATGCCTCGGGGTGATTAAAGGGCTCTAATCCCCTGGGGAGTGCGGGGGGCGAGGGGAGGGTGATGTGAGACTCTAATCTGTGTCTGCTGGCCTGGTTGGAGGGTGGCAGCTCTGCTGGGGGCAGTCCAAATCTGCCCCCAGCCCCTCTGGGGTGGTTTGGGGTGAGCCCAAGGCCCAGGGTTGCATCCTGGGCTGGGGGAAGGCAGGGGGGTTCGGCTGGGAGAGGGTTGCTTGTCCCTCTAAATCGATGGATCTTAGTCCTGTGTGTGGAGCGAAGCAGGGGGAAGCAGGCCAGAGAGGTGTTTCAGCATGGGGTTGGTGACGGTGCCGCGGCTGGAACGGGCTGGGGGCACAGCGTGGTGGGGCCAGGACGTCCCCAGGGCTCCGCCACCCTGCCTGCTTCCCGGGGCTATTTTTAAGCCTGTGCGGGGCAGCTTATACACGGCCAAACTAAGCCCTGCTGCCGCAGCGGGCAAGCGCGGCGGCACGCTGTGTCTGGGTGGCTCGGCAGGGCTGGGCTGGTGGCACCATGGCTGCACCGGGGAGGGTGGGATGGCGGCTTCCTGGGGACAAGGCAGGGCTGTGCTCTCAGCAGTGGCCGCGGTGTGCCGTGGACACGCAGCCCTGGCCTCTGCCTGGCATCTCCGCTTCCTCCCCTTCTGCACACTCTTGTTTCGTGCTCCAAACCCCCCGAGAAGCTCCTCTACCTGAGCAGACAAGTGGTCGCAGAGGTCTGCAGCTCAAATGACGCCCAAGTGACAAAGTGCCACCAGATCTGCGGGGGACATGCAGGCTGTCACTCCCCCCCTGGAAGCTGGGGGAGCCCATCTCAGCCTGCCTCGTCCTCCAAAGTCCTACCCTCTGCGGCGGTGCTGCTGAGCGGAGGTGAGCCCCTCTTCCCTCGGTTCCCACCCTCATCCCCTCGGGGCCAGCAGGGCGTCCCTGCCTGGGACGGGGTGCGACGCCGCGGGCCGGGGCTGCCCATGCGGGGCAGGAGTGGGGGCACCTGGAGGGTCCCAGGAGCGTCTTTTGCATCTTTGCCTGGTCAGAGCAGCCTGGGGACTGGTTCCCTGTGGGAACCCTGGGGGAGCC